TGTAAATGGGTTTACAAGAAAAATGTCGATGTGGATGGAAACGTCCACACATACAAAGTAAGGCTAGTAGCGAAGGGTTACACACAAAGACAATGTATTGACTTTGATGAAACTTTTCCGCCTGTAGCCATGCTGAAGTCCATTCGAATTTTGCTTGCAATAGCTGCATACCATGATTATGAGATATGGTAAATGGATGTCAAAACTGCTTTCCTTAATGGAAACCTGCAAGAGGAGGTGTACATGACACAGCCTGAAGGTTTTGAATGCAGAGGAGCCAACAAAGTATGCAAGCTAAATCGATTCATTTATGGATTAAAACAAGCCTCTAGGAGCTGGAATCTTCGTTTTGATGAAACAATCAAAAGGTTTGATTTTATCAAAAATGAAGATGAACCGTGTGTTTATAAGAAAACAAGTGGGAGCGCAATCATATTCCTGATATTATATGTCAATGACATATTATTAATGGGAAACGACATCCCAATGCTTCAATCGGTAAAATTATGGTTGTCAAAGAATTTCTCCATGAAAGATATGGGAGAAGCAGCGTATATCTTGGGAATCAAGATCTATATAGATAGATCTAAAAGATTACTAGGTTTATCCCAATTTTCGTACATAGATAAAATTTTGAGAAGATTTAATATGGAAGAGTCTAAAAGAGGATTATGCCCCATGTCACATGGGATTTACCTCTCAAGAGATATGTGTCCTAAAACACATGATGAAAGGAGTCGCATGGACAAGATTTCTTATGCTTCGACAATAGGATCTATCATGTATGCGATGCTATGTACAAGACCAGATGTTTCGTATGCTCTAAGTGTTACGAGCAGGTTTCAAGCAAACCCTGGTGAGAAACACTGGATAGCGGTTAAGAACATTCTTAAGTACTTGAGAAGGACTAAAGATGTGTTCTTGATTTATGGAAGAAATGAACTGAAAATTCAGGGGTATACTGATGCTAGTTTTCAAACTGATAAAGATAATAGCAAGTCTCAGTCAGGATATATGTTTACTCTCAACAATGGAGCGGTTAGTTGGAAAAGTTCCAAACAGGAAACAACCGATGATTCAACAACAGAAGCCGAGTACATAGCTGCTTCTGAAGCAGTAAAGGAAGCTGTGTGGATCAAGAAGTTCATTAATGAACTTGGAGTCGTTTCTAGCATTGTTGATCCCATACCTTTGTATTGTGATAACAATGGAGCCATCGCGCAAGTGAAGGAATCGAGGTCTCATCAACGATCCAAACATGTGCTAAGGCGATATCATCTCATCAAGGAGATTATACAAAGGAATGACGTAACGATAGAGCGAGTTCCCACAGATGATAATATTGCAGATCTACTGACAAAGTCGTTGTCACAACAGAAACATAATCGTCATGTGAATGCTTATGGTATTAGATACGTGAGTGATTGGATCTAGTGCAAGTAGGAGTTTGTAAGTGTTATGCCCTAGATTCAATCGATTTAGGTTGTAAACGCTTTTAATATATTTAATGCATTTGATTTTGGCGGGATCTATTATTTATTTAAATTAATTTTGTGATAAATAATATTAAATAATAGAATCCGTAGATCCAATTTTTAGGTAATCTGTTAATCACAAGGAGTTGTGATTGTGAAATACAAATTACATATAATTGGATCTTGAATAAATCATGGTCGTAAGTAATAACGAGATATGGATATCGTTAATACAGTTAGACCATCACGTGTGACATTTCTTACTTGTGAAATAAGTAGCTGATCTCACGAGCTAAAGTGTGGTGACACTTAAATGAACACATGGATATTTTGTTATAGAACAAAACATTCGAGACCCGCTAAGAAATTCCACATGGATAACTATCTGAGTGTCAGTGGCTAATCTCTAACGTTCGGTAGTGAAATTGGTCCTTTGACTTGAAGTCGTCATGGTACCTTATATGAGGACAGTCATACTTTGGCGGTGTTGGATGTTGCTTTGAAAGGGGCCGCTAATACGACATCGTTCGGGTACGTCAAGAATCGTATGAAAATTGTGATTGATCAATATAGGATTCGTCACTCTTAGATAGTAGGAGATTATGATCTGCGTTTCATTCAATTAAGTCGATGATGAAATCCTTGGCCAAGGTGTACTCATAAGTCAAAAATGAGTTTTCGATTTATATTGACTTCATAGTGGAGTGAAAGATATGATCAATGATCGAGATTGACACAATTCCATATCTCGTAATTGATCGGATCGTATTGACGAAGGGATAATAGTTTCACGGTAAACGAACGAATTTGGTTTTGTCATACCACGTGACATTTCCCGTCACATGTATTGCCCTGACACATTGCTAGATGTCAATCAGGGACGACGAGTGTGAATTGACGATAAATTAAAATGGTGTATTAATTTATCAATTTTGATTAGATCAAAATAATATTTCACGACGTTAGGCATCGTGGTCGGGAACCTAATGGGTCGCACACAAAGAGAATTGGAAGATTGCAAATTGTCAATTGGTTTATTTAACAATCGTTGGATAAATTAATTAATTGAATTTGTTATTTATATTCCCGAATTAATTAATTGGATTAATTAATTCACGGACTGGGTTTAATAGAGATGGCAATTTGAACCATCAAAATCGAAAACCGCAGTTAACCGAACCGAATGGGGCGAAAAAAACCGAACCGATGGTGCAATGGGGCAGATATGGTTTTGATTTTAATGAACCGGTTCGTAATGGTGCGGGTATGATATTTACGTCGTCGAATCGAAACCGAACCGATTACCCGCTAAAAAAATTGAATTGATAATGGGTTTTACACTACTTTTCTATCCAAATCAAAACAAAATCCCTCGCCTCCTCATTACATCTACCTGACTCATTCGGTCAGTCTACTTACCATTAGCCTATAATAGCATTAGTATGACAGTATATAAATACAAACCCTACTCTGCACAACCACAAACTCACGCACGGCTCCATTTCTTCTACGGTCCAAATCGTCGTTGCCTCTGAAAATTTGTTACATTTGTTAGTCATTCTATTACTGCTGATCATGTAAAAACAGAGTTAGATGTTTTTCTAGACGTGCCAATATTGCCAAGGATGAATAGGGATCCACTTTAAATGCTGATCTATACTAGTAAGACTTGTAGAGAAGAATGCATCAAGTAACTTCGATGCACAACAATTAAGAATGAAGGAAAATTTTAGTATTATTATATTTATAATATTATTTGTTAAATTTGTATTTTACAATTGAAAATTAGGATAATGTTTGCATTTACGTTTGGAATATTGTTTGATAATGTTTACATTTTCGTTTGGAATATTGTGTTTTTGTTTTCATTGACTTTTTTTATAAATTGTTTTATATCAATTTGAAGGATGAACCTATAAAAAATAATTTATTTTCGTGGTTATTAACCGAACCGAACCGTGCCGAACCGAGATAAAAATCGAACCGAACCGAACCGATTTTCGTGGTTATGGTGCGGTTATGGTATGATCAAAAATTTGGTGGTGCGGTTATAGTTTTGGCCGAACCGACCCATAACCGAACCGTTGCCAACCCTAGGGTTTAATTAATTGGATTAATTAAATATTGGACCGGACCGGACTGGGCCGGGTACGTTTGGATTTATATATATACATAGCTAGGGTTTGAGATCCATAATGTTTTCATTATTCTTGCTGGCACAAGAAAGAAATCCTAGCAGTTGCAGTCTATTTTCTGTGTGAATTTCATTGAAGGCTGGATAATTGGACAGCTGTGGGAGGCAGATTCAAGCTGCTGGAAAGAAATAACGCGAAGGAGTTTGCAAATTACAAGAAAAGGTGTATTTCTTATCTCAGTTTTTTTCTAAATACAAAACTGAATCTTGAATGGAAATTGAAATTTGTTAAATTCCGCTATGCATATTTAAGTAAATTCCCTACAACAACAAGTGTATTGCTATAAAGGAAAATGAGAAAACTCAGAAGCCGAAAAATAAAAATAAAAAAAATGGCAAACTTTAGGCCTCTTTCTGCTGGGACTGGTCCAAATGAACATGAAACCATCAATTATTTACAAAACTTTTTATTTACATATTTCACGGACCCAAAACTTACTTTATTTACATCCTTTTTATTTACATATTTCACGGACCCAAAACTTACGCGTGTTATGAACTAAATGAGGTGACATGTTTATACATGAATGGCAACTTCATCCTTGTATATACTCTTCCCATCCTATGAACTGAACAGTGACGATGAGGAGGGTATATGAGCTGGGAAAAGAGAGACAGCAACGGGGTCTACACAAGAGATTGGAAAAGTGAGATCACACAGTGCACACAAGAGACTGGAATAGAGAGATGAGCAGGGTGTGAATAGTTGAGTAAAGAGACACAACACAAGATGTCACATATACAACAGTAAGGGAACGAGAGACGAATTGGGGTGTAAACATAGCCGGTCAGTGACAGAGAGCAAATGCGGGGTTCACATAACGGTTGAGGAAAGAAGACTGACACGGTATATACAAAATAAGAGAGACTTCTCGGGTCATTGTATATGGCAACTCAAGCCTAATGAGACCACATTTCCTCTCTTGTTCAAAATTCTTGAAACAACAGAAATGTGCCGTCAAATAGGGCAGTTAAGAAAGGCTCACATTGCCTGAGATGAGCTTGGTTGGATGTTATGACAAGTCTACTTTTGATGACAATGATTTCACGTTTTCCAGAGTGGAAAGGACAAGCCTAATATATTTTGGGTTGAGTGTGGGGTGGGGGCTGGTCGGGAGGATTACCAAATCACAACAGACCCCAGACTCCATGAAAAAAAAAAAAAGAAAGAAAGAAAAAACTTTTACACCCTGCTGGGGGAGAAATCTGCTCTGAAAACACATTTTTTTTTTTCCAATTAAATGTGTCCCTGTGTGTGCAAACATGCGAGAAAGGGTGGAAAAGCAACAGAAATAAACTTAATATATCTCAGTTTCTAATCAAACATTGAGTCCTAGGAAAATTCAATTCTTCTTCTTTTCCCCATCGGGTAAAGCATCAAGACAACAAAAAAGGCTTCAAATTGTTTTTGTAACATCAAGCCAGTTTCAAAAAAAAAACTTACAAAAGCTAAAATAGCCCTTTATTTCAACCCTTGAGCGAGGGTGATTCAAACAATAATCAATCAAATTTAGTAAAATGACCTTGAGAACAGAAAAAAATGCAGCATACTGTTAGTTCTCATCAGCAACCCACGACAGCACAATTGTAAACAAAGACACCGGCATGCTCCTTCACTCCAAGGACCTTCCAGTCCAATGTGCGATTCTTGACCCCTGATTTTGGATACCAAGAATTCAACACGATAGCTTCGCCTTCGGGGGCCATTTGACCACCCACAACAAGAAGTGCCTCACCGCAGGCCTTAAAAGCGAGACCCCAACCATTTGAGGAGTCGGCCCTGACAGGAAGTCTTCCTAGTGCATCCCATGAGTTCTTCTCTCTGTCATACTTGTTTATCATGTTTGTTAAATATTCAACTGCATAAAGTTGGTTATCAACAACCGCAACAAGTGGAGGTGCCTGAGCAGCTCTATTGATGTTAGGATACATGCCCTCAATTTTCTTCCACTTTCTTGTTTTAAGATC